AGAATCTCCCAGACAAAACCTCTACATCTGACTGTGGTCCATGTTCTTTGTTTCTAGATGAATACTCATGGTTTGGGGTGTGTTAAAATACACACAGTTTTTGCATGCCCAGCTCTTCAAGCCGTTCAAACTGTTCTTTACTGATGATTCCCTTCCACTTGACTTACTCTTTTGCTAGCCTTTCTATCATTGGCAAAATGTATGACAATGATTTTATGTCTTTTGAAAGGCATTGACAATGTGTTAAAAACTGTGGGGCCGAGAACTGATTCAAGTGATCAAGAAATCAGGTGCATCTCTAGAAGTGTTCCTGCTCTGCTGCCAATTCCTGGTTTGTATTTTAGCTTCAAGATCCAGGAGCTAGCCAGCTCTTAATAATGTGACAGTTTTTGAGGTATTAGTGTGGAGAAGAGAGGAGAAAATGGCAACTCCTTCTGTGGCTCTTTAGAATGAGCAGGAAATGACAATACTTTAAATGTTGACCAAATCTCTTGAAAAAAAGGGATTTTAGTTGAAGTGTTCATGCTGGGCATTGCCCGAGAGATGCTTTTTCTCTTTTTATTTCTTCACTTCTTGCTTCTTGGCCTCAGACTTCCATGAGACTATTATAATCTTCTAGCTTTTTTTAGAGAAGTACAATCTTTCCTGGCATCTCCTAAAACTAAAGGTCTGAAAAACGTGGGTTCAGAGTTAGTCAAGTAATGCTTTGAGACCAATGTCACCTCCAACCTTAACTGTTTTAGCAACTGAAAGGAGGAAAATACTTGGCTATTGCTCATGTAACATGTATATTAACATACACAACCTGCTGGGCAGACAGTTTTATGACTTACATTCTGGTCAGTTTTCCACATTTCCATTGCATGGTGGTTTCTTGCACTTGTGACAGCTTATATGATGCCAAGGTAAGGAAAAAAAAACCACACTGGTCTTGTAATTCAGGTTATTCTGAATGCAAGTACAGCTCATACATTATATATAATAAAAATGTCATTTCATAATAAATATGTGCTGTATCTCAGGGTGGGAAGATCCCAGGGGAAAACTGCCTGGCTAGGCAAGAGAGAGGTTTAGGAAATAAGTGTGGGGTAATTTGGAGCAGTAGATGTGAGATGTGGGAAAGAAACTGCAATGGAAAACTAAGGAGTACTGGAAACCATCATATTTGGGGAGCAAAGTGATGGGATAGGAGCCTGAAGTCCAGCACAGCCAGCTCCAGGTCCCCCTTTAATCTTCAATTCCCCCATCACTGAGATGGTGCTCACAAGTTGTTGGGAAGTTGCATGGCATGAAATCACTCCTTCCCTGCTTGATCCCACCACGCAGCACAAGATGTTGAGAGAAAAGAAGAATGCTAGGGGCAAACCTATAGCAAATAGGATAGTGCTGGATGCCTTCTGGAGTGAAGAGCTAGGATCCTGCCTGACTACCTGCACTTCTTTACAAAGGTAAATCACTGAGCTTGAAGTATTAGAACTCTTCTATTTTTTTCCCTTCTTTTCAGGAAAGGGAAAGGAAGATTTTGCTTGACCAGGAGATGTCTCTGTTAAGCCACATGGGGCTAAGCACAGAGGCAAAGCAGTAGGATAGGAATGTGTCAAGGAAACAAAAATCCGCACGGAGCTGCCAAGGGTTGTGGCGGGTGGCTAAACCCTCCCCTTTGCTCTGTCATGCTCTCGGCAGGCTCAGAGACAGACCCTGCCTCTAGTAAGCTTCAAATTAGCAGCCTGAAGAGAACACCACCTCGTTATAACCTTCCAGGAGCTATTTAAATGCTGTTTGCATTTGTAGCACCTTGGGTAGAGGTAGCTGTCTGCCTGACTGCCGAGTCAGATTGCAGCAGTTCTGGCATGGAGAGCCTCTTCTGCATGGTGGCTATGTGTTGTGCCCATCCCCAGATTTCCTCCAGCAAGGAAAGGACCCAGTTCCTGGGCCCTTGCTGAATTTCATCTTGTCAATGGGGTGGACAAGTGACCAGCCAAATAAATGATTTAGGAGGGGAGACGATGCTATTTCTGGCTATGTGTCCCACTGCCTGATTTGACTGATTTGGTGGGAGTAGGGGGCATTTAGCAACACAAATGCAGGTGGGAATTTTAATCTCTCTGTTATTTAATTAGGCAGTATTTCTATAGAGATGTTTCTTGGGCATGTCCACACACTGAAATGTGCCTCCGGTAAGATTTATGTTAGAAAAAGAATTTATTTATATATCTAATAATAGCTGACCACTACCTTTAATCACAACCCCATTAACCGCGTCATGGTTTCCTCTGTGCCAGGAGGAATTTGAGAGGGAGTGTGACAAAATACTACATGAAAAAGCTGTTGCTGAGATGCACCTCTGGCATTCAGGCTGTTTGGCTAAGCCTGCACAATTCAGGCTGTTTGACTGAAGGAAACCATCTTTTCATGATGCTCTAACTACCTGGTGTTGGCAGATTTTGTGGCCCCAGCTTAGCTGGCTAGCGGGTTTTGTGCTTGGAACTGAGTTCAGTGTAGGAGGTCTGTGATTTCTGGGATTATTATGTGCTTGTATAGAGCACTGTTGGCTTTCCTGACCATGGCATGGTCAGGAAGATCACTTCTGGGACTATTTGCAACAATCTAGTAAATGTAGGATTGCCAATTACTGCTAGTAGAGAGGGCACATAGGGAGGTGATCAAAACAATCATTTCAAGCCTTCAGAGAACCCTAAACCAGTGTCCTTTTCAGGAATTAAAAAAAAAATCTCTGCTTAAGACAAGTTTCACTAGTTTTACCCCTGCTGGAGTAATGCCAGACGTGAGTGTTTCTTCTGCAATCGGGGGAAGTAACCAGGCTCTTATTTCGGGAAGCTGGGCACATGAGAGGCGGGCTCACTCACAGGTGGAGACGCTGTCAGACGCAGGGGGGCTCCTCGCTTGCTCCTTGAGGGCCACCACAGTGACCGTGTACTCCTCACCCGGCTTCAGGCCCGTCTGGTTGAAGGTGGTGACGCTGCTGGGGAGCTGCGCAATCACACCGCCTTCGTTGTTCTGCCAGGGACAAACGAGCGACGGCGATTAGCAACACTGAACAGACGTGCAAGAGCAGGAGAGGGTGGTGAGGCACTGCTGGCATTCACACGTGGGGACCCAACAGGGTTCAGGAGCACCCTCTTATGGGGAAGGGCCCAACTCCAGTGCCTGCCACTTCCCACCTGGGCTCATGGACTTGCACAAATCTGGCACCCACGAAGCAGCAAGCATCCAAGTTTTTGGTCTGAGAAATCCTTCCCCATCCCCTGTTTTTTTCCCCCCCTGTGCAGTATTTTGCCGTCTGTGTGTACGTTGCCAGCTAATTGCCTCTAGAAGAGACAAGGTGATAAAATTGGAGCCTGGGCTAGATTCCCTTTGCCTCTGCAGCTGCTATTCTGGTGCCAGCAGCCTCCTGCAGTTTGTATATGATATAAAACTGTAAGGTCTTCATTTTGGCATGCACTGCTTTTTAAGTATCTTTATTAAATTCATTATACTTTATATTTTTGCTCTGAAAAATGTAAGTCTTTAAGCAATTGCAAATGTCAGCTTTTCTGCCAATGTTTGGACATTGGATCTTTTCTCTCTGCTGTGTTCTCTAATAATATACTAAACAAATCTTTGCACATAGCTTTCAATTCATATTCATCTCTGTTCTCATTTAAATAGGAAATCTTCCATTTTACCCCTAAATTGCCATTTTACCCTCCCTAATTTTCTATCCTATATCTTTCACTGCTTCGTCTTTTCACCCTGAGCTCTACGATTGCACAAAGCCATTCTCTGTACCACAAAGCTCTGTGTTGTTGGATTTTTTGTTCTGCCTTTCCCCTGTTTTTTCCGGCTGCCCACTCTTTCACTACCTTTTGCTTTTATTAGGGGTGGGGTAATGAAAAGAAGTGGGTCAGTTTGATGTCTGCCCAGGACAGCTTTGCTTCCAGGGGAGTGAAAAGACAGCACCCTCTGTCTTATTTTAGCAGGAAAGCTGGCATGATATAAGACAATTTCAGCAGCGGGTTGTGGCTGTCCAAAAGGGATTAAGCCTTGCAATGCAGGAACAAGCACTTCATTGACCGATACCAACACACTTAAAACACCTCACGAGCTACATCAATTTGTTCCTCCTGAAATCCTGCACCCCAGAAAACCTATCCTTTTGCACTTGATTTCCTTGTTTTAATGCTGAAGTGCTTCAGTTAGTTTGACAGCTTTAAGAGGACCTTTGCCCATCATTTAAAGTTCAGACAAATTTGGCCTGAAAAAAGTGTTTTGAGACAGGCTGAAACGGTCAAGACAAAGGAAAAGGACAGCTATTATGAAGCCAAAGGTGTGGGAAGAAGGTGCTTGTATTTTTATTTTGCTTTTCTTGTGGGGGACCTGGTCCCTGGGATCCTTACAGTCAGGTCCATGCAGCTGCTGGAGAGTGGAGATTGGCTTTAATAAAGAAATAACCCAGGAGAGAAGCTCACTTCCACCACGGTGTTCCCTTAAAATGCCTAGATAACCACTTATCTGCTTCATGGGCGCCCTGTAAAGATTAATTCATGAATATCAGTGAAACATTTTAATGATATGCTAGTTTTTGCTGCTAAACTGAAAGTGCTGATGACCTTTCCATTACGTGGGCTTATTGTTTAGTATTTTATTCCTACAGTAGATAAAATTACCTCAGAGTTTATAACGGCAATGTACGAACTTCAACTTTGGAGAAAATTTTCTGTGTTGGTCGAAAATTACAGTGAGATCCTTCCAACGTTTTTGGAAAGCAAAGTGGCGAATGAGCTATTTAAAGCAATTGGGCCCTCATTTTGTAGTGTTTCTAATTGTACCTTTACAGTTAAGAGCTTTTAAAACTTTAGGGCCAGGTTCTGCCATTCCCTGCTGCCCAGAGCTGCCTTTTACTCCACTGAGAATATTGTACAAATGAAAATGGCATAATTGAGCCCTTAATCAGCATTTCTTCTACTGCTGGGGTTTGAATGCTCTTGTAAAGACGGTCCATATACAATTGAAGCTATACTTATGGATAAATGGTGTAGAAATTATGAATATAGATGAAATACTTGACATACAATTTTTGTTATCATGCATAGAAAATACGCAGTATTTAGGGCAACATTTTCATCCTTTCATCTTTTCTGGCACAAATCCTACCTGTTCATCGCTGCAATTAAAATTCTAAGGCAGGAATTATCTGTGCGTGTGACTGTAGGTTGTTGAAGGTTGCCATCTGCAACCTAAGGGTTTTTCAGTTAAATCTTGACTCCTTAAAGTAGCTCGATGTGCAGAAAGAAGGGGTGGGAAAGAAGAAGAGGAAGAGGAAGGGACAAGCCTTTAGGGCAGCCCGTGTTGAAGCTATTGCATTGAGGGCCACCAGTGCTGTCAGTGTTACCTTGGGGATGAAGCTGATTTCCCAGCCATCAAAGGGGAAGGAGAAGGGCTCCCACTGCACCTCAGCAGTTGTCTCGGTGATGGTCTTGAACTTCAGCCCCTGTGGCGTGGCAAGGTCTGGAAGGGAGCACCGGGGTGGTGAGCAATGAGGCTGTGGCTTCCCAGTCCCCTCTCCCTGTTCCTGGCCCGGCTGTCCTGGGATTCCCCCACTTCAATGAACCCTTGGGTTTGCTTTTAGGGAATATATCACTCAGGAAGGCAGCACGGCAGCAACCTGCTCCACAGCACTCGACCATCCCACCTGAATGGAGCAGATGATGGGTTTGCAAGCATTTGAGGTGGCTGGATGCTCTCTCCATGCCCTCCCTATGTCTTTATTTCAGAGCATCCTGTTCATATGTCACCATTGCAGCTTGATATTCCCATTTTCCCTCCTCATAATGCTTGTCGATATCCCCCCTCTCCAAATGTTGTGGGGAGCCAGCTCGTAATGGGGAAGGGAACTAGCCACGTCAATAATACGCCAAAACACCACAGCATTTTCTATGAGGGTCTTACTGGCCACTGGTGTACTTACGGGTTGTCACCTTGGCAGTGGCAGGGGCACCGCGGACGTTGCCAACAATGGCGTAGATGCTGAGGTTGTAGGTAACACCAGGCTCCAGTGATCGAATGGTCACTGCTCTCCAGTCACCGGGCACCCGCTGCTCCAGCCGGCCGCCCCCAGGTCCCGCTGGCTCATAGGAGACCGCGAACTCTGCCGCTGCCGCTGGGCCATCCCACACCAGCTCCACACTGTCATCGCCCACACCAGCCACACGCAGGTTTTCTGGTGGTGCCACTGGCAGGGAAGGACAGAGGAGTGAGCGGAACAATGTTGAATGCAAAATGGCCACCACTGCAAAGGGAGGGGATGTGAAATGGTGGCCACGCATGCCAGGCCCCTACCTGTGGAGCAGTCAGGTGCTGCGTAGCCGTCCTCGCAGGCACAGAGTCCCTGGAGGCAGGCGCCACGGCCGCTGCAGGAGTTGGGGCAATGGGGCCAGCTGCAGTCATCGCCGGCAAAGCCCTCCTCGCAGAGGCAGGCACCGTCCACGCAGAGGCCTCGGTCACGGCAGGCGGCAGGGCAACGGCGCTCGGAGCAGTCATCGCCGCCATAGCCGCCGTCACAGATGCACTGGCCCTCGACGCAGGCACCGCGGTGTGAGCAGCCCCCAGGGCAGCGGGGCTCCGAGCAGTTGCTGCCCACCCAGCCCTCATCGCAGACGCAGCCACACGCTGCCAGGCTGAAGTTGCCGTGCCCGCTGCAGGGCGGCAGGAAATCCAGCTGCCCTGAGACCACGCAGAGCCGCCCATCAGAGCCCGCTCTCCCTCCCCATCCAACGCATCCAAAAACACCACTGGGGAAAGGCTAGGAGAAACCCCGTGAGCAGAAGTGAAGAGCTCCCTGGTTCAGCTCTTCACTAGGGAAAAATCCTTCCCTATGCCAACTTCTCCGTCCCCAGCCACAATTTTCACAGGCTCCTATTGAACCCTCCCCATCTTCTGATGGTTTCCTTCTGCAGGTGGGGACATGCAGTGCTTCTCGCCCAAAGACCATACCAGCACCGGAAGGTGTCTCCTCCCTCACCTCCACCCCACACCACAGAGCAGCCTAATGAAGGTGGGGTTGAAACCTGAGGCAGCCATGTGGCCAAAATTGATCAAAGCCTGTGTTCTGTCTTGCAGCCTGGCACTGCGAGCAAAGGGAAGGGGAGCCTGGCTACCCTCAGCCTGACATGGCCAATGCATCTCTGTTTTGCTAAGAAGACTAACACCAACTTAAGGCTTAAGGCTTGCTTGGCTTAAGGCTTGCTTGGCTTAAGACTTGCACCAACAATGCTAACTCTCCCTCGCTAATTTTTACTGCTTTTCTCCTTCATACACTTAAAGACCCAAGGCCACGGTTTCATTGTGGCACCTTCTGCTGTGGTATGGGCCCCGTAAGGCGCTCTCCAGGTATGCCTGGATCATACACTCCTGTAAAATGGGTGGGCCACAAAGGCCTTTTTGGATTATGTTGTAGGCTATTTCCCATATTGACTGCAAATCGTGGGAATGGCAATGTGATTTTGTTCAGATCTCAGCCTCTAGTTAAGTTATCAAAAGAGAAAAATGGAAGCTGGAATATAGAAGCTTTCTCTGGGGAAATGTTTCAGGCTGCAGGGTAGGGTTCCTGATCTTATTTGCAGTGCAGAGAAATGAAAGCTACTTCAGGAAAATGTATGAAATTACTCCAGATTTACTTCAGTGTGCATCTGCAATTGGAGGGGAGGCTCCACTGAGTGATAAATGTTTAATGGAACCATCTACATATGTTGCAAATAACCCAAATAGGACTATCAGAGCTTCAAATGAGCTCCTCTAAAACGTTTTCCCTGCTGCATTTCCTACTTGATTTTACTTTTTTACTTCCAGTTTTATGGTACAGCAAAGGCATAGTTGGGGGTTTTCCATTTTAGTTCTACTTAATGCAGCTGATAACCACATCAGGCAGAGGCAACGGTTAAGTTCATTACTTGGATTGTATTGACCTCCATCTGCTGCACAGTCGTCACTCTGAACCACTCCTGAGCGCGTAGGTTCCCATTTGTTCCCACCCCAACCCTTGCTCTAACTCTCCGACCCCTGACACTGTTGATCTGAGTCATGTCATTTTTATTTTAACATGTCATTAACAGAGGAGTCTGCCCGAAGGCCACTGGAAAAATCACACTAATAGCTGCAAAACTTAAAAAAATGCACTGAGCCTTGGGTAGTAAAGGTTTGCTTTTGATTTTTCCTTCACCCTGTTGTTGTTTTGTGCCTGAAGAGCAGTTTCCCTACTGGGCAAAAGGCACTGCATGCCTGGCCTTGTTCAGCTCAAGGAACTTACTCGACTGTTCCTCCCTGAAAAGAGCCCACCGCCGTTTCGTTACAACATCCACTCCTGCCAAGACCCTGGAAGGGGCTGGGTTGACTGAGAGGACAAGTAGATAACGCTGTGTGGAACATCGCTCTTATGAAGATCTCTGAGATGTACAGAAAAACATCTGTGTGCTAGCTCCCACACTATTGAAATTCAGTCTGTAAACCAAACCTTTCATAACCCATCTCATTATAACAACAGACTATTTCCCAGGCTCTGAAGAACAGCCTTGTAGAAAAGAGGAACTGAACTGTGTCTTTTGAAAGAGTAACTGTAATGGAGGACTCACAGAAATCTTCATAAAGCTTACCTATTATTATTCAGTTGAAGTATCCTGTTGATAGTTTTGTGCCTGCATTATAGGTTTTGTTTATGTCTTTCATGGCAACAGAAGTTATTCCCTGTATTTATTTTTTTTAGCTCCGATTTTCAGATCTATTCACTCTTCCTACAGAGAAGATGAAGAAGTTGTTTATTGCTGCCTCCTGCAGTGCTACCTTCAGCTCAGGGAAACCTTAGGAAATAGGAGATGCCTCTCTCCTCCCTGTCCTGTGAGAAGTTATGGATCTCTAATCAGGATTGGTAAGGAATAGAGGGGTCAGGGAGATCATCTGCTGCGCCCCACCAGCCTGGGTGCTTGAGCTACCGAATCCCTCTCCTGGGAGCTTTCCTGCCTCAGAGGATCAAAGCTAGGCTTCTTTCTAATGAAGTCAGGCCTTCCTAATGGAGTGGCCTGAGCAAAGGTGGCCATGGCACCATGGGTAAACATGATGGCTACCAGGTGCTATCACTAGCCTGTGTTAATTCCTCCTTTCTTTTGCTTGAGCCCTTAGTCCCCACCAAGATCTAACAGGATCACATTACTACCTGTGGCTGCATTTTCTTGGCAGCAATTGGAGTTGCATTGGTCCCGGAGAATGGAGACCTCCCTCTCCAGCATCTCAATTCTGCTCAGCAGATCCTGCATGGACGGGAAGGAGGTGGAGCACTTGCAGGCCTGCTTGGGGAAGTTTATCCTGTGGGTGAAGGTGACCTGGCTCTCGCTGTCTGAGGTCTCTGCATACTCCGCCATCCTGTCGTCTTCTGAACTCACCTCCTCTGCCGAAGACTTGAATATTGAGGAACAGCAGCTGTCCAGGGGGACGTTGATGTTGTAGATGTGGTGAAAGACCATGGGCTGCTCTTTGATGGCTGGGCTGCAGTTGGCAACATTGCCTTCCTCATCCATCACTGGCCTCTTGGTTGCCTCTGTTGTCACTTCTAGTCGGCACTCAAAAGGCTTGAGAATGGCGCCTAGCAGTAACAAGTTGAAGGTGATGAGCACATTTCTCAGGACTGGGTTTTCCTTGTCAGTCCCCATTTTCTTGGTAAAAAGCCTTCTAAGCCAGTCTTGGTCAGCCAAGGAGGATCTGAGAACAAAGAAGATAAAGTGTATGTGTGATGTTAGCCTTGAAACACTGGGGCTACACTCACATTAGACAGGGCTAGATTGGGGCTAGATGTCCAGAGACATATTCAGGGCAGACTTGACCTGGTCTTGCTGTCTTAGGTGTCAGGGAGGAGGCTAAATCAACCCTGAGCTGAGCCCACAGATGCCCAGAGAACAGAGTGGCTTTCTGGACACTGACAGCTTGGCCCTTTGCGTCCTAACCCAAGGACCCTCATCTAGGAGATTAATTGAAAAACATCTTGCAGCACATCAGGCCAGCTCAGTTCCCCTGGTCCCAGCTGTTGGAACAACAGTCCTGTCTCCCCAGCAACTAGATTAGTTATCCCTGTGGGCATGGGTTCCTTTATAGATGCCATTGGGCTTTTAACTGCACTGGCAGGTGGGTCAATATCTATGGGATGTACCTGCACAGGCCCTAACTTCTAACCTGCATCTTGAGAGGATTCAGCTCTCAAACAGTGAAGCAGACTGATTCTTTCTGTTAGTACTTTTTTGAAGAAAAATGGGTCATTTGGTAATTAGATAGCATCAAGTACCTGTTTTTTGAGCAGAAACACTCCTTGTGGGATCTGCTTTCAGTGCAATAACAGTACAGTGCGTGAGGGTAAGATAGGTTAATGCATGGGTGATGATGACACATCCTCATGCTCTCCTTAGGCTATCTCAGACAGCATTTCCATGCCCCAGAAACGGAGTGCTGGGTTGCTAAGCTTCCTTCAGTAGCTATAGGAACAGCAACTTCAATGTTAAACACCATTAAATTATACCATGCAGTCTTAAGCTTGTTTAGGTTTATGCTCTGAGCAGACAAATCTCTCTTGCTAAAGTGGTTTTGCCTCCTGCCTGCACTCTGGATTATGGGTTAAAGTTGTCCTGAATTGGAACAAAACAACTTTTCATTTTGTTATCGATTTGGAGCCTCCAGGTGGTAATCCAGACTCTGAGGGCCACGTTTATCTCCAGTCTAAAATCACCGGTGTCAGTACAGTTCTACTAGAGATGGATTTGGCCCCATTACTCTTGTTGGACTATTGTGTGCTGACCGATAGTTAACACCAACCAGCTTGCTATGAAGAATTTCCACCTTATCTATCAGAGAGGATAAAGCTGATAGACAGGTGAGGTTGTGTCTGTGAGCCCGAGGACTTTCATTATTTGCAGCACAGCAGAGACAGAATGAGATTGAATAGCTCGCCTGCCGCTTACCAGTGCCCAATCAGTTTGCCCTGTATTTGCTTGGCATTGGATGGTTAAGTTGTAGTTGAAGCGGGATTGCTGGGGCACGACTACTCAGAGGCTAGGCAAGAGCTGCAGGGGCCAGGGCTGCTGCCCGCACTCATAGCTGAGCACTAGCACTGCTTCGGGATAGGGACAGATAATTAAATAATTCAGGCTAGTAGCAGGAAATGTATGGCTGGATTCTCCACTGCGTGTTATTAGGGAATGTAAATTACAGTGTTTGTGGCTCTTTACCTGCACTGGGTTTGTAAGACTTGGTTTAATGAATGCCAGAGCGTGCTTCACGGTTCTTTGTTAGCCAACACAATAGAAATGCAAAGCACCTATGTATTTTTAGCACTGTCTTCTGCAAGAGCAACCAGAGTCAGTGGAATTATGGGCAATCATTTGGAGGTCAGTGCTTTCCAGTACTATGGGCAATCAAACAGAGTTTTACAGCACCGTTTTCACTAGAGTAACTCAGGTGTCTTCGTAGCCCTGAGGGAGGATCAGATCTAGACATGGGCTTCTCCAGACTGTGCTGTTCTGCCTCCCCAGCACCACCAAAGCAAAAGAAATGTTAGACACACTACATGTGTATTACATTACACATTTTAAACACATTAGACATATAAACATTAGGCATGCTTTACAGTACCAATAACAAAATGAAAAAGAATCAGAGAACTGAAGAGCTCCTACGTGCATCACCCCAAATTTTACCCAGGCTCCTCAAAGGTGTGTTTTAGGCATATGTAACCACAGACAGGTTATGGTTGTTCCTGGATTATCTGGCTTTAATTCATGAATGGCTTTAATAACTCTGCATTTGGAGTATAAAAGGCTTCAGCATCAATACAGGCTAGAAGATTATAAGAAAGTGCATGGGACTACACAGGTTAAGAGCATAAAACCTTGAACTGGTTTCTGTTGGGTTGATCCAAAAGGATGAGAGTTTCCTTGAAGAACCAATATGTGTGTGGGCCAAGAGGTAAAAATTGCCACCTCTGCTGGTTACAGCTGTCATCTTCCTCTGGGACAGCTGGTTGCAGGTTCTGAAGGAGTCTTGGGAACCAGCTTTTCCTTGTCCCTGTCAGAGTGTCCACGTTGTGGATTATCAAATTCCCAGCGTTTAGAGAAGATACAGCATGTTTCTCAGCTGCAGTTCACCTGCTGATTCACACTCTGGGCTGCTCTCAGATTCTGACTTTGTTTGGACGTGCCAGTACCATAATCTTGGGAAATTGCCCCCTATTACTAATTACTCCCACTGCACTATACCTTCTCTCTGCTTCCCTGGGGAGTACATCCCCACTCATCTTTTCCCCACTGCTAAATGAAAATATTTGTTTACTGGTTTATCTCCTACAGTACTGGCACAATACTGGCACTCCAGAAAATACAGCTATTCAGCCACCTCTCAGCATTTATAGGGCTATTATCCCATATTACTGCAATGTTTCTGCTGCACTTCTGTTCCTGGCTCTATGCTTAATACCTGCTTCTTCTGAGCAGACTCCTGGGACTCCTTTAGTAGGCTCTCCCTCTTTTTTTTTTTTTTTTTTGAGGAAAAACAAGAAAAATGGAAACACTTCCAAAGTGGAGTGACATGTTCTTTTCCCTCCACTCTCTGCAGGAGCCCTGGTTGTATTCACAGAGGAAGGAAGCAAGGGGATGCCCAGAGAGGACAATGAGAGGCAGTGCTGAAGGTGGGATGCACTCTCGTTAGGTGACCCTGGGGTTAACTGGCCTCAGCTGCGAGCACTGACAAGCACTAAGTCCTGATATAAAGCCAAGTTTCCTCCATCCCATTAGTGGTGTCTGCATAGAGGAAAGTAGCCTGGTTTGCTTGTTGTTGTCCCAAGCTTCTCCTTTGTGAGGTCTTGCTGAAAGTGGAGGCAAAGGAAAAAGCAGCACCAAGAGGAAGCAGGTGCCTGGTAGGAGAGTAACCTGGCTCCTCTCCTGTTCCCAACACTTGTTTGAGGACAGACTATGTAATCCCACTGATCTCTCCCATGGGAGGGATGCCCTGAAACTGAGGGGTCTGGCCGCATTGGTTTGTCCCCCCTACCAGTCCCCACAGGTTATGGTGGTGCCTTGCATAATAAATCACTGCTGCTGATGTGATAGCAGTGCTGCAGTCATGGTTTGCAGGGGGCACTGTGTTCAAAGACCTCCCCCCAAAAGCCTCATCTGTCTTCTGGGGTCTCCAGCAGCTCTTCCATAGCCAGACTTGACCTGGAAAGAAACTTCTTGTCCCTGTGCTTCCCCCTGCTCCCCTCCATTACAACTGCCAGCCATTACCTGGGGACTAATTAGCTCTCGCTGCCTTTGATTGACTGATATCCTTTAGAGGCTAATTGTGGCTCTTTGGCCTCTCTCCCTGCTTTTCAGCATTAGGAGGGGAAGTAATTGTGGCTTTAAGCCAGGGCTGCAGAGCCAGACTAGTGCTTCAAAGCAAGCAAGGATTACAGCAGCAGCGGCTTAGATATGGGAATACAACCCCTCCTACTCCACTCTTTGGAGCAAAACTCAATCTGGCTCTGCAGAAGTGCAAGAGCCTGTTTACAAGCACAGCCAGAGCTTCCCGGCTGAGGAAATGAGGGGGAAGGAATCCAGGTAGATGAAAGGCTGATATAGAAAGGGGAAGACTGACAGTACAAGGGACAAGAGGTGAGTGAGTCGATAAAACAGAGAGAGCAGATGCATGACAGAGCTTTCTCACTAATGACTCTAAGCAGGTGGGATAGTTTGCAGCTAACTGACTGATGGGGGAAAAAAAAAAGACATTTATGTGATGGGAGAATTCACCTGAACCTCATTATCAAAATGTTCACTGCAGCAGCCGCCAGCAGACCACAGGATGCTAAGCGAGACTCACCAGTGGCCCCAAGGAGGAGAGCATCCCGAGAGCTACTGCTGATGGCTCGGAGGCACCATCTGGGAGCAAGTGCCAGAGCTCCCCACCAGCTCAGCCGTGTCCCACCACTTGCAGGCAAAGAGGCCAGTGCCAGCTGGTTGCATTCTACGTGAGGGTTTTCAGAAGAAATGTCATTCCCAGACATTTCCTCTCTTTTTTATTATTATAAACAGGGTTATGGAAGGAAAAAATAAAAACAAACAAATCTTCCTCTGTTGATTTGGGTGCTTTGTCTGACTTCATCTCCTAGCAATTCTCAAGGAACGGGCGTAACCTGATGGTGTGGACCTCATTACGGCAGTGGAGAAGTTTCCACCAGAAATTCGGAGCTCTCCTCCTCTTCCCCGGCACTGAACAACCTCCGTGAAGCTTGCTGCAGTTCAGGAGAAGTCCAGGGAATGGGAAATTCCCTGCAGAAAAGTTCTGGCTGAGAAATTAAATAGTACTGGAAATCATCGAACAAAGGCACAGGGCACTAAAGCAAACCTCTGTGCCCGGTGTGAGTGAGAGGGGACCCAGGAGGTGAACCACAGCACGCTGGCCTCTGTAGCTGAAGTGGCCACATGCTGCTCGATGGACAGGAGCAAGTCCAGTTTTGGGCAGAGGGAAAAATCGTGCCTGGCTTTCAGCATAGGTCTGACCAACCCAGGGATGCAGCTTAGTTTCCTGTAATCCGCCTTGGGTGGTTTGGGTGATAAATCCCTGTTAATCTCTGACTTCTTTGCAGCATCTGGGTGAGAGGGAGGCTTGGGCTGATGGCCCCACAACCTGCCAGGTTTTCAGTCTGGTCCCATGTGGGCCAAGGCTCT